CAAGCAGGTCAGAGTGGTCCTGCTTGGCGTACTCGTGCGACGGCGAGAGCAGCGAGAGCAGCAGCCGCCACACCCTGCCCAGCACGGCCCAGCAACCGGTGGCGGCCGGCGGCGCCTCTGCAGCAGCGGTGGCGGCAGCCGCCGCCGGCGTCGGGAGCGGCACGTCCGCGTCGGGCAGCGGCGACAGTGGCGCCTCCTCCGCCTCCGAAGCCGCCACCGCTCTGCTCGCGTCGTCCTCCGCGCCTCCGCGCAGGCGCAGCAGGAGCGCCGGCCGCAGCGTGCCCCTGCTCGACGCGTGCGGCGGTGGCTTCAATGCCACGCGCTGAAGGCGGACGCCACCAGCAGCGGCGAGCGCTACTAGCTGCCAGGCGAGCTGCATGGTGGCGCTCGCAAAATTGCGCAAAAAGAATTTTCTGAGCCCAACACCGCGAGCGGCGTCGATCGTGCGCCCCAAGCTAACCAACCCTGGCCCTCGCCCCAACCCTTTCCCTATCCCCAACCCTAAGCCCAATCGTAGCCCGGCCGCTCGCCCCAACCCCTGTCTGGTATAGCCCCAGCCGACTCGCGTGAACTCTCGAGGGATCTCGAGTTGCGGAGCAATAGCATAGCATACGAACTCTGTTCCGCTGGGAGTGGCTGCGGCTATGTGGACAGCCCCAACCCTGGCCCTCCATACGTGCGTGAGTTGCACACTGGCGTCTTCAACCAGTTGCACGCTGGCGTCTGCAAGCCACTTGCTCACGCCGCGGAGGCCAGTCAGTGCTGTTTTTTTGATTGAGGGAATGGTGAGGGGAGCGGGCAGCGGGCGCCGATGCTGGTGGGCACTGGCCCTGCGTGATGGGAGACGGCATCGTTGATGAGACTTCAAACACGCACCGCGCGGTGCGTGTAGGTAACGACGAATCGAACTGTGAAAAAAATCAGATCGGGCTGTGAATGTGGCCGTGAAGGTGCCCTGCCTCTCTTCCGCGACCCGAATGCTCGATGACGAGACGGCGTTGTCCTCCTTCGTCGATGAATTCCTCGCCCCCGAGCCTGGACCAGCGGCGTTGGTGGCTCAGCGCGAGCGTCTCCCTCACTTGGTCCACCCGACTCTGATGCTGCCATGGAAACCGTCTGCCACGGCGCAGCCATCGCTCGAGCTGTCGCAGGACTGCCGCGCCGCTGCAGCCGTGCAGGCTCTCACACGCAGCGCTTGCGCCATGTCGCACCCGAGCGTACTCGGCCTCTTCCGCGTGGAGCAGAACGACGAGACGGTGCAAGTGGTCGAGGCGGCCCTGCTCCAGCCTCGCTGGGTGCCGCGGCAAAAATCAGTGAAAAGCGACGGCCGCTATGACAGCGGTGGTGGTGGTGACAGCGGTGGCGGCGGCGGCGGCGGCGGCGGCGGCGGCGGCGGCGGCGGCGGCGGCGGCGGCGGCGGCTTCCTGCCGCTCGAAACAGGGACGAGCCTTTACCTTCCGTGCACGTACACGCTGCTGTCGCGGCTTCTGCCGCGCCGCCACACGCTCGTCTCGG